GACATGTTGGTCACCTCCTCTCTGCCATTGTATCACCTGTAGTTTATATTTGTTTTGGTTTTGTTGGTTTTCTACTGTGGTGGAGGTTTTTGTGGGATGGTGTTTAGACCGGGTAGTAGTGATTTTATATTTTATTGGACGAGGAACCTCGTTGGGTCTGTCTTTTGCTCGGCTTCGACTACGCTTAGTGCTGATTAGCTTCATATCAGAGGGGCTACGGACTTGGACTGGAGCAGGTGCTGGGTTGTTTGATGGTCTTGTAATTAGTTCTCATGCGGGCATGACTCGGGGATGGCAGGTGCAGGACCGTTGACTTAGTTAGCTTAGGATTAGTGGTATACCGGTTAGCAGTATCCCTGTACTGGTGGGGGCTCATCGTTTACCAGTATTGGCGGTACGAGTTTAAATAAAATTAGATTGAATTCTAAGTACTTTTGCTACTTATTACTTTAACAAATATAAAATACCTTTACGATCTTTATCTTTATTGCAACATTATCGCTACGCCAAGGAAAGTTCTTTACGAAGAAGAGTTAGAGAAAGCTTATGATAGGCGTTCTCAATAGAAGACAGAAGTCTTGTACTATCGGTAACGTAGGCAGAGGCCTAGCACTATCATAAGACAAAGAAGAGGAGAAGAAGAAAAAGAGAAGTATCATTCCCCATCGCCAAAACCTAACCCTCCAAGGAGTGATCGTTACAATAGCTCTCCAAATAGCAGTAAATACTATTGTATTTACAGATAAAACCTAGATTGAGTTTAATATGCCCCAAAGGCAGTGGGACATCTCTCACTCTGTCAGCTGCAACTCAAATGAGTACGTGATTCATGACCGTGATCATGAGAAACCAGCAATTAAAGTCATGCTTTGGAAAGCTATTATGTTTGGTCAAAAAGGCCCATGTCATATATGGGAGCAAGATACAGAGGAGGAAAAGTCACAATTTCACCAGGTAGTTTTTAATGAAAACTATTGGCACCAGAATCGGCAACTCTACAATTAACAGCTAGCCTGTATTGAAGGTACCTGGTTAGTGAGACATTTGCACAATGTGAATGCTGAGGTGAATACTCAAAATCAAGAGGAGGAAAGGACTGGATTGCATAAATGCAAACAGTGTAACCCAGAGCACGTATTTAAGGTAAAGCAGTTCAGGTTTACAAGTAACCAGGAAATAAATTGGGTCTGTTACAGAGAGCGTGTCCTACACTCAAAGCTCTATTCTTGGATTGATGAAATGCAAAGAAAAACAGGCATGGCTTTAACCTACTTGGTAGAAGACAATGCTCCTGCCAATCAGACTGTACAGCATATTGATAAGGAGGAAGGTCTTGGAAGAGGTATTATTACCTTAGACTGGCCATCCAAATTACCAGATTTAAACCAAATGGAACCACTCTGGGACTACGAGAAAAATGAAATATCAACCTGGAGGTTCGTGGGCACAAGTCAGGAGACCGTCAACTCGGCAAAGGCAGCACATGTAAGATCTTGGGAGGACTTACCACAGGAAGTTCTTGATCAAAAATGTTACAATGGTTCGAATTGTTATAGGGAAAAAATGACCTTCATGTTCAACTTTTATGTATAGTTAAACGATCGGGTATGGGTTGTTCTAATTGAATTGACGATCATTACTAGACTTGGGTGCACGACCTCAACTCGGCTCCGCGACTATTTGACAGCTACTGGCCGAAGGCTTATTAGTATTAAACCAATTAAATTAAAGCTCAAGTTAGTAAGACATGACTACAGTATCCTCACCAAAGTTGCTGAAAGCACAACACAATAAACTCCCCTTCCTTCTCTTTCTAGCGAAAGGCCGAAAATTCTCCTGGTTTTTCTCCAGCGGAAGCCTCCGGGTCTTTTTTGAAGCACAGAAAATTTTTTGACAGGGAATACATTGTATAAGGAATGTATTTAGAAAGATATCATTACAGGACCAACGCAGCAGAGCACGAAATAAGGTTTCGAAATTGTTTCCTATAGAGACGCTCCGGGAATTAAACCCCGGTTCTCACTAGAATCTAGATTCGATAGCAGCACCCATGGCCTGCCTCGGTGAAGGCGAAAGTTAGCCATATGGGGTCAGAAAAGGGGCCGGTGATGTTTGGGTCTGGGAAAATTCCGGGGGATATCGTCGGGTTTGCTTAATCAAGTGGCTGACTGGTGAGCCATGCAACGCCAATTGTCGTGGACTTGGATTCAGAAATCGCTGTAAGGGGCTGGGCGCTGGAGTTCCCAATACCTTGTTCACAGTTCGGCAGAGGACATTTCATTATTCTTTTATTTTTTTCACTTCCACTGCAGTATCAAAACCCATCTTTCTAGATCACCGGTACCTTCGGTTGCTTCTTCTCATTCCATGCCTCGTGCCCCGTGCTTTCACCCCGAACCAACCCCAAGCTTAGGGGCGGGGTACGGTAGGTCGCATCGGGTAGAGGCCTCGGGGCCCCGGCCCAAGGCCTGGGATATGATACTTGCACATGGGTGGGGGCAGCTTCTGTCCCTAGTATCGGGTTTCACATGATTTGGGTCCATGCAACAGGTGACAACCAATCCCGTGAGCGTAAGGGGGTAAAAGTCTATAGCCTTGAAAAACGGGATTTCTGAAGATCCCGTGTTCAACTCACTATTAGGGTACCAGCGAGGTCTCTTTTTTATAGGGTGTATGGTAATATAGAGAGGTGGAGGAGTTGTTGAAGATCATGGATGCTTCTTGGCATGCTTATGATGTTGTTTCATCTGTTTGGATGAAGGTTTCGGAGATAAGCTTTGGATTAATGTATCCGTAGGAGGAAATGATGTATCCGTCGGAAACAGCGCAGGAGGGTCAAAGGGACTAGGCAGAGTACGCAGAGGAAAGGGAGAATTACGTGGACAAGAGTGAATGTGTGTGGTGATCGATAGAAAGATAGGAGGATGCCTCTATTTCGTTTCATATATACTCCTTCCTTCACCGGTTGGTCAGTTAGGTGAGAATGAGAGCGAGCGAGCTTCCCCACTTACCCCAGTCACGTGCCGGCGATCAGAGCCTATCTCTGTTGTAAGATTTAAGAAAAGAATATAGCGTGACCTAGTGCTGTGGGTATGCCAATACACAAGCCACAGTTACCCTCACAGTCTATCACTCGAGAACTCCAGCCTGCATTCTGTTGTAAAAAGCTCCAATGCGCTCGCAGAGAACCATAACACTAGATAACTTCAACTTGAACAACTCCAACAGCCCTAGGGGGAGTAGAGGGAGGGGCCTAATACCCGAACATATAAAGAGAGTAATAATGATCTTATCCACCATCAGAAGAAACCTGTTTCTAGTCTTCAGCCCTTAACGCACCATTGCCCCCACACCAGTATACGTCTTCAAACCCAAAGGGTAGAAAGATACTCGGCTTATGCGGCATAGCCGCCAAATAATCATGAACCAACAAAGAGCGCCCTATCACCGAAATAAATGCAACCCAATACAAAGGAACGATATAGGGCCGGGAAAGTAATGTGTGTGAGATGGAGAAAGAAAAGGCTTGTAGACAACAGAAGACAACATCTCCAACACGCTCCACCACCCTGCACCCCTCTTTTATCCTCGCAAGGATTTGGGCCACATTTACGACCCCCGCACAATCCGTGCATTGAGCCCTCGAACTTTGTATGCAGATTTAGCTTCCAGGGACTAATTGGCTCTACGCTGGGCCCCCCAGTCCAACAAATGCGCTTCCTGTCTGTTGCCCGCCTTGCCGTCCATTCAAGATTGATAAAGGTGGATTCCGGAATAGCACTTATATAACCGCCCTGTACCCGTGATCCTACAAGTTGGGAGATATGTGACTTTCTGCGTAGCACACACCCGCCTGAGTAAACCAGGTGCAACTTCCCCGCAATAAAGAACTACCCTTCCTAGACAAGTAGCACCCGAAAAAATCGGATCGAAGAAATATCTGCGTATCTCAGCACCAGCACAAGAATGCCCCCCTGTTTTCGGGCACTTATTACCCGAGATAAGCCACCTATCTAAGGAACAAAGAGCGGTGTAGGGTTGGAATCGATAAGGCTGATCAATACCGCAGAAAATGGCCGGATGGGATGCTAACTGTGCTTGCGAACCTCTAAGCGGAGCGGTAACCCCAACTCATAAGTTATATACGTGAGCTGACCGCTTCTGGCGAGAGAAGGATCGGATTCTGCCAAGATTAGGTGAGATCATCTGGCGGACATTCCTCGGGTGAAGCGTTTCCCGCGAGCACAGTTCTCACCTCCGGTTGAATGTTCGGAATATTACCGGTGTGAATATGTGTGGCTAGAATCATGCCAAGGAGGCATAACATCTGGTGTGCCGGCTTTCAAGACGATGCTGGGCATGGTGCCGAGCGCTTGAGGTTAAATTTATACTTCTGGGTGACTCGTTTTGCTTACATAACCCAAAAAAATAGTGCCGCTTGGCAAAAGAAACTTCGGGATCAATGATCCAGGGGTAATTCGAAATTCCATTGCCCCCAATGACATTACTCTAATTAAAAAATCTAAAAACGCAGAATTAGAGAGGAACCGTATATTCCTAGGGATGTGGTTGGGAACCCTCGAAAATTGTTCTTGAGCTGGTTTTGGTTGATCTCAAGTTCCCGGCACCATACTGGGTATGATACTGGCACAACAAAAATAGGAGTGTGACAAGCAGGGGTATTTGGCGGGCAAGAAAGTGTGTTCGTCAAAGTAGAGTAACAGGGTAATACCTGTTGGCGGTTCGTACCCCACAGGTTTTGGTCGCGCCCCGTTGAAGACTTGTATGATATCGGTATGATATGATCCCCGCACCGGGGGTTCAACCGGAGGCCACAATATTCCCCAGTAGCGATAAACAAAGCTCCCAGGCTCAGCCATCAAGGAGGGAAAGAGTGCGAACGCCCCCGTACATATAGTAGATATATGGACAGAGTATCTAAGCCTCCAACCCCTATTCGAAATATAAATCTAGAACTATGTTTTATAAATGCTTGAAGCATGCATGAAATATTAGTACCCCCTTCCGGCAACAGTGCTTCTCTCCATACCACGCTAGCCGAAAATAGTAGTTATCCAACTTACATAATCCAACGGGGACCCTCCGCAAAGAACCTTTCGTGCAACAAAAGACTCCGCCTCCAAGGCTACAGGCTGATGATGGGGAACCGGAAGGGTGGGCAGAGAGTTGAGGTCCTGCAGAAAAAGTTCTCAATTCGTACTGTGCATGACTCGATCGAGCAATCCAAACAAAACCGACCGTACCCAGGCAGTCGCGCTCTACTTTCGGGGCGGAAAAGTCCTCGCACCTTGCTCATCGCTATTTGGGGAAACCCACGATAACGGCTACCTGCCGTATGAGGTCAGGTCACACTGTTTCAGGGGATTGTCCAATAAGGTTACAGTAACAGGACCGGTAGTCTTCGGTGTGCCAGCCAGGTACTCGAGGACAGCGACGTCCGCACGATAAGTATCTTTGAAGGGAACGTTCGCCGATACAAGTACTCGTACTTGTAAGGTCGCCTGCCGGGATGGGGGACGGTATCATAGGCGAAGGGCGGCATTACCTTCGATGGAAATCTCCAAGCGCTCAGAGCGGTAAAACTAGGGACTGCGGGTAGCTGGAGTTGGGAAGAATTTCCTGGGAAAGTTACACCTGCCCGCCGGCCAACACTAAAGGGCGACCGGATCATTTGTTAAGGGGTTCGAGAAACTCGGCGGGCACATTGGGTAGCTTTTCCATTGGAGTGCTACTACCGGTGGGATACTGGGTATCATACTCGAGTATCGTGGATTGTCACGGGATGGGAGAGGGCATCTAAACTACCGTAAGCAATGAATTTCGTTTCAAAGTTGAGGGAGCGAGGCAGTTTAGGAAGCTCTTGAGGCATATTCATCCTTGGCACAACTTCTCCCCCGCTGTCCGGAGGGGGTAGATTGTGATGACTAACGACGGCGGGGGTTTGGTTCACTTGTGGTTATAGTATCGGTCGCAAGCTTTCGATGAAGAATCCCGTGGGGAATTGGTAGTGGAAGGGGTACGGTACTGTGCCGTAGTAGCACACTGGATAAGTTGGCCCTCGTTTAAGCTTAACCATCTTCAATTCTTCCGCCTCCGAGGTCGCGATTTCTACAGCTCTTGTACTTTCTTCTAAATCCCTAGCCCCTTCTTCATCTCTGTGCTTTACAGTATTCTGCGGGGGGTGGTGGAGAAAAAGGTCAAATAACGAGTCATAGGCATTCTGTCATTGGTGGACTACTGTAAAGGTTTCTTCTCTCATTGACTGCCGACATCAAGTAAGCGCGGAATATCTGCACATTGTAAGGAGCTAACTACCGGGATTCCTAACGCGACCTCAACGCATCGTCTGCCAGACAAAGTACGATAGTTGAGAGGGAAATGATCGAGAACTCTCCTGCGGTTCCCAAGGGTAGGAGGTTATGCGATGCGCTCGCTTTGCTTGGGCACGGTAGTTTAGGCGAACTAAGCGAAATGATACTGGATGAATGGGACCTCCAGTATCACCGAGTGATGGTTGGCCGTCGGTACTGGAAGTAGGCTAGCTGTTGCTGTGATACTATTCATGGTCCGCCGGCAATAAGATGGTTTGTGGTCTGCTGTACTAGTACAGTACAGTACCGTGACGGGCGGAGCGCTTGCTCGCACAATTTCTAAGCCGCAGGACGGGGATGTTGATGGAGATCGCCCTTGCTACCGCGGAGGACGCGGCCGGGCGGAAGGATAATGTAAATTTGAGTTATCCTCTGGCAAGAGGGGGTAGGGGGAGGGGGAGGATAATTATTCAGAAGCGATCATGACAAATGTATTAGTACTGTACTGTGCCATGCTCTACCGTACTTGTTTCGAAGGCAAGCTCGTATCGTGCGACACGACACAATCCTGGAGAGAAGAGCGATAAAAAATCTACCGTCCCTCGAAAAATTGCCACTGCTTTGGTAAGAGTAACAATCCACGCAACAATCCACGAGTGACCTCGTATGACATCGCCCTGGGGCGTTTATGCTGCGTTACCAGCATAAGGCTTTGTTTGTCGGATAATGTCACCCTTAACTTTAATCCCATAAGATTCCATCCCTCGAGTCTTACACTAATCTCCGCTCGGCTTGGGTAGTTCTGCTGTTTTCCGTCCTCTCTGCCATTCCTTATTTAATGGGTCGCTGTTACGGAGCCGGTACTACCCTCCGAACTCGGCGGGAAGAGAAGAAAGAAAATGGTGGGTAACACGCCCCGGCGATGGCTCCTTCTCGCTCCGCACTGCTGTGCAGCACAGCACTCGAGCGCAGTGCTGTCCCTCATGGGGGGTGGGTTACGGTAACCCTACGACCCACAGCTTGCCTTCCGCCGGGAGGCGTCTAACAAATGCGTGTGCACAGTACGAATACTCTCTTGTATACGAATGTAGTTCCGTATGCTGTACCGCATAGCCTTCTGATCTAAAGGAAAAAGAAAAAAAATGCTAATTGGTGGTGGTGTTGAGTGAAGCCTGGGTGGTTGACTAGGCTCGACTGGTCTTTTGGGTGCGTGATTAGGGATGCGGTAGGTGGGTGGGTGTGGTGGAGATTTATCGCCTTACGGGTATATTACTTGCGCCTGACCCGCTTTGAGTTGAACTCCTCCTATACTTTTGTACTCGTATCGATCGTCGTCGCTAGGAGAATTTTCTGGGTAAGAAATCTTTTACCTACGCCCATAAATCGAGTCATCAACTCACGAACATACACACCCGTCCACCCCCCCCCCCCCGCCAACCAAGCTGTCTAATCTGCGTTCACAACCATCCGGCCTCACCAGCCATCTACCACCATAACAACAAGGAAGAGCAAAAGACAGATAGAAAACAAAATGCCCACCATCATAAACCGCTCTCTATCGTTTCTGAAGCTATCTTCTTCCTTGCCGAAATCCCCTGAGGAGGAGAACCGCCCGAGCACAGCATATGAAATTGACGAATTCCTCCGATGCTTGCCACCGTCCCTGCCGACACCTCCATCCGCCCAGCGCCATCATCGTACCCCACAGCATTCACCAAACCCATCTAGCTCCACCACCCTCTCCACCTCGGCAGTAATCTTGCCGCCTTCTCCCCCGCCAACGGACGTTCCACCGCTGCCCCCGCCATCCTATAATTCGCTGGAGAGGGGGTATTACAATAGTTCTGCATGCGCGAGTTCGCTACCGCACGTCCACGTTCATTTACACGAGCACGTGCCAATATCGGCTCATGTGCGGGATACGCAAGGAGAGCAACCCCAGCATAGGAGGAGCTCATCGAGGGAAAAGAATCGGTTGTTGAACCTGAGAGTCGAGACCGATCTTGATTTCGGAAGGAGGGGCCAGGAGCCGGTTTTGGTTTATCATGCACCACGGGTAGAGGAGCCCAGGAGGATGAGGGAGGAGGAGATTGTCCAGTGGAGTTGGGTCTGAATGGATAGATGTCGATTGGGCGGTGTATGATATTATTGCGTTTAATGAGGTACCGACTGAGCGACCGATGGATTGATGGAGAGATGAATGGGAGGATTTCGGATTCCGGATTTCGGCGTTTACTTTTTACTTTTTATCTTTACAATCAGCGAGCGACATTGCGAGCATAGACGCTTGTTTACGACATTTTCTCCTTCATTCTCTCCTTATTTCCTTTGTTTACCCCACTACAAATTTCTTCCATACTGTGCGTCTGGTTTCCAATCTTATCTTCTCTCCTCTTTTTTGTTTTCTTCTTCCTTTTCTCACTTTATTTCATTCGTCAACGGTGCAGGTGCATGGGGTGCTAAAGGTGTATATTTCGGACTTTTTTTATATTTTTTATATTTTTTATTTTCATTTTCTTGTTCGGTGTTTTTCATTTTCATTTGAATGGAACGGAAGGTACCGTTTGAGTCACAGTTGATCACAAGACGGAAGGGGGTATATTTTGTATACAAAAACACGATAAATTATCTCCAGAAAACACCCGTCCCGTGACAGTCATAGGCGCGAAACACGAGCACTAGCAGTCACTCGTCCAAGTGGCAGGAGAGTTGCCCAATATCACAAGTATCATACTTACAGCAGGCGATCACGCTGCACGGTGCTGTACTGTACGGTACAGTGCACTTACAGGTACAGTACAGTACGGTACAGTACTCTGGCGAAAAAGGCCACCAACACCCCCACTCACCAGCCGATCTCTACTATAGAAAGTGCGCTTTGTTGTTGATTTCATTTTTAAAAAGTGCACATTCCACTTCCACCGTTCCTTACGGTACGAGTACTAATACTTTCTTTATCATACCCGTGAGCGCGAATTCTCCCGTACGGTGCCGGTATTTCACCATGCTCGGGTCTCAAGCCGGGTCGGTTCGGGGGCGTAGCGAATGTTTGTGGAGGCTTAGCTGGTGGCCGAGTGGCACGAGTACTCGAGGACAAGTACCGATGTTGTACAGTACAGTATTGTATGTTGAGAATTACTCCTCTGAGTTGATGTGTCACGAGAGAAGTGTCTAGGCTTCCTACTCACTATTGCGTATGCTGGGTTGTACTGGGTGGTACGTGGAAGTGTGTATTCCGTATCACTAGTCATGTGACTAGGTTTGGGCATGACTATATACCGTTCTTGTTTCGCTTAGCTAGCTGTAAGACTTAATCAACAATCTTCCGCTGCACAACAAAAACGTCAAATTCGTAACATTGTACATGCGAGGAAATTAGAGTGATATCTTGTGAACGCTTTCGATGTTGGGCAAAAAGTTGGGTCTACCGTAACTACTCAGGAGATAGAGACCGTTGCCAAGGATGACGCTGGTAGGACTATCCAATTTAGGAGCTTGGCAGAGGACCCAAAAACAACATCAGCTCAATCACGGGAGTACCAGTAAACATGCAAAATCACTTACCAAACTGAAAGTTCAAACTAAAAACAATCCACCAAAGGATCTTTATCCACAATGCCAGCTGTTCGAAGGCCCTTGGGAAGGATGAAAGAAAATGACCTAAGCGAATGAAGGGCACAACACAGGGGTCCAAAGCCGAAATCTCTTGAGGCACGTGATGTAACACCACGGGTAAGGAGTATATTCCACAGCATATTAAGCATAATACTAAAGCATCAAGATGCAGATTAAACCTTGTCAGCGAGTAGAACGAAGTTATACACGACGGAGAAAGATTGAGGTACTGAGTTGGATTAAGTACTATCGTGTACCCAACTCCATGCCAAATACAGCAATAAGGATGAGGCCTTCAATACTTGATGAAGTGTCATCCTTTTTTCAGATACCAAGAAGCACGATTGCGCGATGGAGAAACCCTGAAAATACGCAAAAGATTATTAAGCAAGTTGGTGGTAATCGCTCATATCGTGATGCGTCAATGGTTTTCAATTGCCAATGGCCCGAGATGGAGAAAAAACTATTTGATGCTTTTCTAGAGCGAAGAGGCAAGGGGAGGCCTGTAAGAGATGGATGGTTTCGGAGAAAAGCAAAAGAGCTATGGGGAAGCTCTTACCCAGAGCTTCCCTCAGAACTGTTTGTGTTTTCGGTAGGATGGTTTTTGGGATTCTTATCATGGCACCGAGTTGTTTTACGATTTGTGACCAATACAGCTCAGTCACTACCGGCCAACTATAAGGAACAAATTCTGGATTGGTTAAGATTCAATCGACGGAATAGGATACTCACCCCCCTATCGCAAACCACTTTCGATCAGCCACCAAATCCACTTTCCCTAGATTATATCTGTAACGATGATCAAGGTGGAATTCCCGAGCATCGCATTTGTAATGTGGATGAAACACCACTCCCCTGAGAGTATCTGATTGGAAGGACATACGAGCTGCAGGGTGCAAAAACTGTTTGGTCAAAGAGTGCTGAATCTGGCTCTGAAAAGCGCCAATGTACCCTGTTTCTTTGTATTTTTGCGGATGGAGTACCTCGAGTTCCTCCTATTCTAATTTTTCCTGCATCCAGTGGATCAAGAATACGGCAACGTGAATCACATCTCTGGGACAAACGAGTTCATGTGGAGTTTTCTCCTACCGGTTGGATGAATGAAACTTTGTTCACCCAATTTATTCTACAGTTTTTAGTTCCGCTCTTTGGAAGCCAGCGGGCATTATTTATTTTTGATCGATATTGTGCACATCTTACATCCCAAGTTCTTCAAACTTGCCGCGATAAGAACATTACACCCTCTCTGATCCCGGCTGGTACAACACCAATGACTCAACCCCTTGATATCTCA